TTATGGGAATCATCAATACCAAGAGGAGAATGCGCATATCGTCGGCTTGTTCCGGCTCAGACACTTTAACTCAGAGTTATGGCCTTGATTAGTTATGTAGTATGCATATGGAGTAAAAATCGTTTCCGTACTACTTCCTCTTGCAACTACTGGCCTGGAATTCAACGAAACTTTATGGGAATCATCAATACCAAGAGGAGATGCGCATATCGTCGCTTGTTCCGGTCAGACACTTTAACTCAGAGTTTCTGGCCCTTGATTAGTTATGCAGTATGCCTATGGAGTAAAAAATCGTTTCCGCCCTACTTCTCTGCAAATACTGGCTGGAATTCAAACGAAACTTTATGGGAAACTTCAATACCAAGAGGAGATGCGCATATCGTCGGCTTGTTCGGGTCAGACACTTTAACTCAGAGTTATGGCCCTTGATTAGTTATGCAATATGCATATGGAGTAAAAATCGTTTCCGGAGTACTTTCTCTGCAACTACTGGCTGGAATTCAACGAAACTTTATGGGAATCATCAATATCAAGAGGAGATGCGCATATCGTCGGCTTGTTCCGGTCAGACCCTTTAACTCAGAGTTATGGCCCTTGATTAGTTATGTAGTATGCATATAGAGTAAAAATCGTTTCTGCACTACTTCTCTGCAACTACTGGCTGGAATTCAACGAAACTTTATGGGAACCTTCAATACCAAGAGTAGATGCGCATATCGTCGGCTTGTTCCGGTCAGACACTTTAACTCAGAGTTATGGCCCTTGATTAGTTATGCAGTATCCATATAGAAAAATATTTGTTTCCTCGCTACTTCTCTGCTACTTCTGGCTGGAATTCAATGAAACTTTATGGGATACTAAGAGGAGATGTGCATATAGTCGCCTTGTTCCTTTTAGATACTTATAACTCAGATTTATGGCCTTTGATTAGTTATGTAGTATGCATAAATCTCATTGGCATTTCCAGATTTTACTATTTAACACAAAGTTATGGCTCTGTTATTGCCCTGAATATTTATCAAGTTCAAAGAATATTACTGTTTATGCCATGATTAATATATAAATAAAGCCTTATGTCTTCAGTTGTTGTGTTAATAATAACCAGTACTCGGCGGGGGATATAAATTCAACGAATTTGCTTGTTGAATAATGTACTGTGTTTCTAACACTTATCTCTTTAATAATTGAGGCAACAAATAAGGTTGCAAACAATCATATATACTAATTGAGTACAATATGTATTTGGCAGGGATTGTTTTGAACTTTGAAATGAAAACGAGAGTAACGTTTGAACCATTAATGATTTATATTGGAACAATATGTGGTGCAGATCCACGAAGGTACAATGTACTTGTTTACATTTTATGACGAAACAAGTTTCGGTTTATGCTACGCTGAAAACAAGCGACATTATGTGATAAAATGATGATATATTATATCAGGGTCTTTCAAATAGAAAGACCCTGATTATATGGAATGCTTTTTCACGTGTCATGACAACACGCCAGTTTTGTAATTTATGCTAAAATGTACCTTTTTGAACTTTGCTTTGATGTGTATAATTTGTAATAAAATATACAGGCATGTCGATTATTACATATTAAAGAATAAATGTTAACGCAGATACGTTTTCACTGTGTGTGAATTATCACGGATATACCGTATATTTATGGTTCTCCACTTGAATGAATGACAGAATAATATACCAGTAAACATAGCAAGAAATTTAGTAACTGGATCAATGAGTTTATTCAGACAAGAAGCCAGCCCGTGCAGAATAAAAATGTACCTTATGACACTCAGTAAAAAATCAGTTTAGGTTATAACTTGTATAAATTAGGAAACTCGATCCGTCACCCCTAGACATAACAATGTTTTGGTGTGTTAGTAAACATCTTGGCGCCTTCTCGGGTTTAATACGATATATCAGTATTAGTTTAAAGATAACTGTACATGAAATTATATAATAAAATTTATCAGTCAATATTTATCTATTAAAATGTTATATCTATCTTCCATTAATGTCAAACCCCTCGCGGGGACGTCGACATGTCTGCGCGTCAAAAATCGCAAGAAGGTTAAAAAGAGTTGTATAAAAGAGGATAGAAGTATATTTAAAAATGTTAAAAACAGGGGCTGGAAAACTAGGGTGAGACATGTACCGTTCGATGCAAGCTATGGCTGCACTGAACAGCTCTGGGGTAGGGAGTAGGGCAACTGCAGGGGGTAGGTGGTTCCAGTGGTATACTGTCCTAGGAAAGAATGAGAATTTATAATAGTCTGAAGTTGCTGTATAACCTATAACATAAGGGATGGCCATGGCGTGATATTCGGGACAGGGGTGTCAAATATTCTTCTATAGGGATAGCATCCAGACCATGGTGAATCTTATAGAGAAGGGATAACCTAGCATCCATACGTCTGAGTTCCAGTTTTCGAAGGTTAAGGGGGTGAAGCATGTCCGTGACGCTAAAGGTCTGACCATAGTCTAGCTTAATCCATGCTCTTTGCTGCTCTTCTTTGGACATTTTCGATTTGATCTATTAGAGTTTTTGGTGTGGGGAGACCATACTTCGGAACCATATTCAAGCTGGGGTCTGACTAACGTCTGGTAAGCGATGGACTTAATGGATTGGGATTTAACCTTTATGTTTCTGCGAAGGAATCCTTAGGGTTTGGTTTGCTTTCTTGGATGTCCTGTCTATATGGGCATCCCATGTGAGGTTTTCTGATATATCCACGCCTAGGTATTTAGCTGAGGTAACCGATTCTAATTGGACTCCATGAAAGTAGTATTGTGTTGGAATAGGATGTTTCCTTTTTGTGACGTGGATAACTTGATACTTGGAGGGGTTAAATTCCATATCCCACTCCAACTCCCACTTTTCTAACCGATTAAGGTCATTTTGGAGGGTGGCTGATTGGTTTGCAGACATCAGAGCAATGCATATATATAGTCGTATCGTCTGCAAACAAGCGGACTTGGGAATTTATGTTATGTGGGAGGTCATTTATATAGGCAAGAAACGGGGAGGGGGCCTAGAACAGAGCCTTGGGGACACCTGAGGATACTGCATGGGATGGGATTTGAGCAGCTGCCATTCAGCACAACAGACTGCTGCCTGTTATCAAGAAAACTTTTGACCCATTTTAAAGTTTGACCTCTGATTCCATAGTCATGTAATTTTCAGCAGTACTTTCTCATGGCTGAAAGCCTTACTGAAATCTAAAAGAATCAGATCTGCTTGTTTTTTCTCATATACTGACGTGGCCAGGTCATTTACCAACATTACAAGTTGCGTAACACATGACCTTTTTCCCTGAAACAATGTTGGAGGTGGTAGAGGATGTTATGGATGGTGAAGTGTTTAACAATGGAGGAGGAAACTATGTGTTCCATAACCTTACACAGAACACATGTTAAGGAAATTGGCCTATAATTGACAGGGACTGACCTATCGCCTTTCTTGAAGATTGGGGCTACATAGGCAGATTTCCATTGGGATGGCAACGAGCCTTCATCAATGAACTTTTGGAAGATAACCTTTGGAGAGAGCTCTTTGGAAAGTGTGTTGAGAACAATTGGTTTAATTTTATCTTGACTACAGGCCTTATGATGTTTTATGTTATTGAGAACTTTCTCAGAATACATATATTTTTTGTATGTTGAAAAAAGTTGTCATAATGTTACATCAAGCAATGCATGTCAAAAGGAAGAAAACGGACTTAAGTCTTAATATATTTAAAATGTGTATTTGTGATATGTTTTCAGAGCCTTGCTGAATGTCGGACAGCAAGCATCCTAGTGAAACTTCAACTCCTGTGGGGACAAGTACAGCGTGTTTTAGATCAGTTGGGAAACGGTGTGCCGACAGGCTCCAACATATGGGCTCAGCTTGTAACAATAAGTTAGTAGAACTTGATATGTTTTCTTTCCATCTTATATATAGATTGATCATTCACGCGGTGCTCAGTAGATACCGTTACCCATGTGCTTAAGCTTCTAGCCATACTCCATTAATTAATAAATTATATTTATCTGTTCAAAGTATACATGTATCTGAGCAAAAAAAAAGTTGCCTCTATAATTGTTCAAATTATTTGCATATCTATGCCACTAGAATACAATTCATTCTCAACTGAAAAAAATCTGATTTATGTTCAATGTACATATACTGAATGTACTATCTAAACTGCAATCCAGCCGATTGTAAAAAATGGACACTCCGTATTATATATCATGCTATAAAATAAGATATGCATATGCCGAATATCCATTTCAAGTGGTTAGTTAACAGCTGCTATACCTCATATGTTGTGATCAGCTTTATCGTATGAAATAACGGCAGTTCAACATTACAGTGTCTTAAATGGCGTCTCTCAAACAGTCTTTTTAAAGGCGCCAACTATATTTTCGTCGTATTTACTGTAGCATCCCTCTCTATGACTGTAGCTTGAGGCCGTAATCCTTAAAGAAAGTTACATACATGTATCTCCCTCCATAAAATAAGGAGCTCGGGACACATCATGCCTACACCTATACATGCTAATATATAGGTAAATCCCAGCCCAGACATACTACTACAAGTTCTCTTTCTTTCCAACAATAATCTTCTACTCTATAGAACACCCATCATTGTCCTATTGCCTTCATTTGGCATGTTCAATGCGGCCACTTTGAGCACTATTAAACAGATATCCAGATTGCTTAATATACTTAAAAAAAAATTGACACCGCCTTTTTCAAATGTACGTTATAGTTTGGTTCTTTTACCTTTCTTCGGATTGACGCGAGGGCTGTTTTCTTCCTGGGGTTAAAAGGAATGTACTGTACATAGATCTAAAAAGGGCTTTTCAAATGTCTTTTTAAAAAAAAATCCCGATCTCTGCTGGTGCTTGAATCGTACGCGGAAATTTATCATAAGCTCTGATACATGTTGTTTATTCGGATTGAAAATTCGTTGTAACATTTCAAATTTTTATCTTTTAAAGAAAATTATAAGTTGCGTTAATATTTAGTGGTATGTAGCCTTAAATGTGTACCGGATGCGGAAAAATTGAGATTATCAGAACGAGGCTATTTCCCGCCATTGCCAAAACAAATGCATGTGTGATTCATCAGTGATCATAATTTGTGTCACAGCTAGATTTCTAATTAGTTAATGACTGTATGTTAACGAATTTCAGTATGGCAGACTATCTTATTACTGGCGGAACAGGGTACGTACCAGATGATGGTCTAACAGGTGCCCAGTTGTTCTCACACGGTGATGGATTCACGTACAAGTGAGTAGCTTAACTCACAGGGGGAAGACACTGTGATCTGACATTAGCCCGGCCCCCTCCCCCCAAAGGCCCTGCTACAACCCATAAAAAATATCAATGGAAGTTGATTTGCACAATAAAAATTCATAAAAACAATATTCTGACACGTTTCGACGATTTTCATTATATCCCTATACTATAAGTTATAACGAGGGTTCCGTCTTCTATGCGCTTCCAGCGCTTTGATACTGTCCAAGTTCATATCTAGCATCGAAACTCAGCCAAAACTCAATATAATTTTAAAAACATGGTCTCGATCAACGCAGCATTGATAAATGTATGTAATAACAACAGTCAATTTTGGAAATGTTGGCAACTTATTTTGATACAACTCCCGAAATTGCCGGTGACTTGAAATCTGACAAGATCTGATTCACGTAAACATTGAAATGTTTACGACTGAATTGCATCAGAAACGCTAAAATGCGTAGAAAATTTAATTGCATCTGCTAAAACAAAATATTCAATAAACCTTACCACAAAAATACACTCCGAATCTATTTCCTATCGTGGCGTAACGATCAAAGTCTAATCCGATCTTCCCGTCTTTTCTCATGCCTCCATTACACAAACTTGACCCGGAAAAGGTAATGCACAACTCTGTATGGTTCTCGTCCTCGCTTATATGACGGCGTCCGATTCGGTACCAGTACTTTGCAAACATAAACACGTGTTAATATAGCGCCAATTTCGAAAGTTTGTCTAGAACTGTTTTCGCACATTTTCTGTCGATATAGTACAGAAATCACAAAATGTCAATAGTTTCCTGGTAAACACATTAATAAAACACTGTATTTGTACACTGGAGCTGCCAATATTTTATACACGTGTTCAGGGCTCACACTGGCTTTGTAAAAATAATAGCCAACATTTTAACATTTTAAAAAATTATAGCCAAAACTGCGACGGACTTTTTTTAATGGTGCTGTGATTGACAACATACACTGTTGGCTTATGTAATGTTAAATAAACTACAAATGTATAATCATTGAACTTAATGTTATATTTACTATTGTTTTTTATATGTCGCGAAAACATGTGACAAAGTAAAAAACCGTCTGTTCATTTTATTTCATTTCGTTTGTTTTAATGTACATTAATGTCTAAGTTACCATTTTTGATACCTAAAGCTTTTTTTTATTGTCAAACCAACATTCAAAACATTTTATTTCACGAATAGAACATTTACATCACACGACCATTTTTTAAATGAGGTGTACATAGATCTACTGTAGTTCTAAATATCAACTTACCAACTTTTTTTCCCTTTGGATTTTCATGCGATCGTATGTTTTCAATTTTAAGACTGGAACATCCACTTACAAAAGAATTTACCATCTTGGCATTTCTACACACTGTGCAAAACATTAATTTATTTTTGGCGTCATATTCTAGCCAGTCTCTAGTGTGCTTCCATTCTGGCCTGAATTTCCTGATTATTTTCTCATTTTGTTAAGGTAATTTAACTTCAACACTTTTATCTAACTGCCTTTCTTCATAAGAACAAATTTCTCCATTATTTACATCAACCTTATTTTCAGCACTATCACTTTGTAACTCACGATCTTTACAAAATCCAAATGCACTTAATTTCCTAACTTTCAAGTCACTTTTTAGTGGCGATAACTTACGTTTAGGACGACCCATTTTGACAGAAAAAGGATCACTAATTCGGATTGTCCACATTTTACCTTTATATTGTTAATATTTTTTGAGTAAATTATCATTGTTTTTCACTGGCGATTCAATCAGACACCCTTGTACAATAATTTGTTTAAAAGATGAAATAATTGTAATTAGACCAATTTACGGGCGGTTCGATTAAAGTATCAACATGAATATGAAGGCCGATGCTAATTAACTTTAATTGTTTTATTGATATACCGCAAATCGGTATATTTTTAAAGTACCCCTGCTATTTGTTTGTCACGCCCGAAATACACGCCTCTGGCGATAACAATCAACATAATAATCGACACGTGTTATTAATAAACACCGCTACTGCAGTAGAGGTATGCAACCTTTATCGATTTTCACACTTCGCTACAATTATGAGCGCCGAAAAAAAATATGGAGGATGATTATAAAATAATCGCCAGTTTCTTTCGCCAAAATGAAAAAATATTCGCCATCTTTATAAAATAATCGCAAATGGCGACCATGGCGACTGACAGCGTGAGCCCTGCGTGTTTATGTTTACAAAGTACTGGTACCGAATCGGACGCCGTCGTTTAAGCGAGGACGAGAACCATATAGAGTTGTGCATTACCTTTTCCGGGTCAAGTTTGTGTAATGGAGGCATGAGAAAAGACGGGAAGATCGGATTAGACTTTGATCGTTATGCCACTATAAGAAATAGATTCAGAGTGTATTTTTGTGGTAAGGTTTATTGAATATTTTGTTTTAGCAGATGCAATTAAATTTTCTAGGCATTTTAGCATTTCTGATGCAATTCAGTCGTAAACATTTCAATGTTTACGTGAATCAGATCTTGTCAGATTTCAAGTCACCGGCAATTTCGGGAGTTGTATCAAAATAAGTTGCCAACATTTCCAAAATTGACTGTTGTTATTACATACATTTATCAATGCTGCGTTGATCGAGACCATGTTTTTAAAATTATATTGAGTTTTGGCTGAGTTTCGACGCTAGATATGAACTTGGGCAGTATCAAAGCGCTGGAAGCGCATAGAAGACGGTACCCTTGTTATAACTTATAGTATAGGGATATAATGAAAATCGTCGAAACGTGTCAGAATATTGTTTTTATGAATTTTTATTGTGCAAATCAACTTCCATTGATATTTTTTATGGGTTGTAGCAGGGCCTTTGGGGGGAGGGGGCCGGGCTAATGTCAGATCACAGCGTCTTCCCCCTGTGGCTTAACTTAAGCTTAAGCCTTAAGGTCTTCAGCGTACCATTTTTTATACTATGGCATGACGTGAACGCTGAAGACAGACCCGTAGGGAAAGTCCACAAATAATTGTGCCAGAAATCTGACACGCTCGTATTCATTCTTCGGACATGCCGTGAAGTAAAGTCATGGAGTTGAATAGACTGTGGTAAAGTGAAACATATCTTGATAAAACCACAGTGGATTCTGTCATTTTTTCCTTTCCCACTATACTGGTTGGGGAGATAACTTTGGCTGGTTGATAAACTCGGCTTTTTATAATTTAATCAACTTATCGGCTTTTTATACCCCCAAAAACGAAGTTTGGGGGGGTATATAGGAGTCACCCGGTGGTCGGTCGGTCGGTCGGTCCAGACGTCCGTTGCATTTTCCTTGTCCGGAGCATAACTTGAAAACTAATGGTTGGAATTCAATATTACTACATACAATGGTCAAGCACATTGAGAGGAAGTGCAGTGCACAAGAACCATAACTCTATCTTGACTAATTACAGAGTTATTGCCCTTTGTTACTTTTCCTTGTCCGTGGCTTAACTTGAAAACTACTGGTTGGAATTCAAAACAACTTCATACAATTGTCAAACACAATAAGGGGAAGTGCAGTGCACAAGAACCATAACTCCATCTAAAGTAATTACAGAGTTATTGCCCTTTGTTGCTTTTCAATTGCCTTCTTTTTTTTTGTCCGGAGCATAACTTGAAGACTACTGGTTGGAATTCAATATAACTTCATACAATGGTCAAGCACATTGAGAGGAAGTGCAGTGCATAAGAACCATAACTCTATCTAAAGTAATTACAGAGTTATTGCCCTTTATTACTTTTCCATTGCTTTCTTTTGTCCGGACCATAACTTGAAGACTAATTGTTGGAATTCATTATAACTTCATACAATGGTCCAGCACATTGAGAGGAAGTGCAGTGCACAAGAACCATAACTCCATCTTGACTAATTACAGAGTTACTGCCCTTTGTTTCTTTTCCTTGTCCAGTGCATGACTTTAAAACTACTGGTTGGAATTCAAAACAACTTCATACAATGGTCAAGCACAATAAGGGGAAGTGCAGTGCACAAGAACCATAACTCCATCTTGACTAATTACAGAGTTATTGCCCTTTGTTACTTTTCCATTGCTTTCTTTTGTCCGGACCATAACTTGAAGACTTATTGTTGGAATTCATTATAACTTCATACAATGGTCAAGCACATTGAGAGGAAGTGCAGTGCACAAGAACCATAACTCCATCTTGACTAATTACAGAGTTACTGCCCTTTGTTACTTTTCCTTGTCCAGAGCATAACTTGAAAACTACTGGTTGGAATTCAAAACAACTTCATACAATGGTCAAGCACAATAAGGGGAAGTGCAGTGCACAAGAACCATAACTCCATCTTGACTAATTACAGAGTTATTGCCCTTTGTTACTTTTCCTTGTCCAGAGCATAACTTGAAAACTACTGTTTGGAATTCAGTACAACTTCATACAGTTGTCAAGGACATTCAAAGGAAGTGCAGTGCACAAGAGCCATAACTCCATTTTGACAAAATACAGAGTTACTGCCCTTTGATACTTTTCCTTGTCCGGAGCATAACTTAAAACGTACTGGTTGGAATTCAAAACAACTTCATACAATGGTCAAGCACAATAAGAGGAAGTGCAGTGCACAAGAACTATAACTCTATCTTCAGTATTTATAGAGTGTTTGCCCTTTGTTCTTTTTCTTTGTCTTTCTGGACTTATTACAGAGTAATTCAATTAAACTTCATCAATGGCCAACCACATTGAAAGGAAATGCAACATACATGAACCACAATTATCTTTAATTGCCCACAACCATAACTCTATGTTTCAATTCTTTTACAAGGTATTCTGTTACTAGTAACATCCTAATTTCCGAAGCAGACTTGTGGGGGTATTAATCACATTTAGTGATAGTTCTAGTTTAATGTAATCAAGCTGACAATCTCGTACAAACGCTGGAATTCGACAATATCTGGAAATTTTGTCAAGTTTGGTAAGATATTTAAAAAATAGCACAGACATTTACCCGTTTGTTTAAAAAACGTGCCTATAAATAGTACGGGAAATCCGATTGCTGTACGCATGCGCAGTAGATGCTCATTTTGAGGCCCGTACAGGGTTACTTTTATATATTAACCGACTACCGGTAAAGCAGACGATGTTCACGGATACATTTTGTCAATTTTGTCTTGCAAACTCAGAAAAAGTCCGATTGCACAAATAATCTTTTAGTGCAATGGATTGAAAAACTGATGTTAAATGCTCCTTTATATGTTTTGTGTAGGTTGAATACCACTAAATTAATTTCTTCTTCACTCTGTTAAATTACGAAGTTACCCAAGCCAAAATACATTTGAATCACTAATTCTAAAAATACATATTTCGTATGTTAATAAATGAAAATGCATGTATTTTTACAAAAAAGTATCGAGTTTTTTGTTGTTTTTTTACATAACATTGTATAAAAGTAACAGTCCTTATTGAAAATTTCTGATAAAAAATATTTTTTTATAATTTGACATATATGAATAGCAAAGGAATAATGAAATGTCTAAACATGTTATTCTACGTTTTAATTTACTCATTAAAAATGATTTAAGAAGAAAAACAAAGAGCCGAAATTATCTACTCGCGCATGTTAAAAATGTGCTTTTTACGTACCTCTTCCAGGGCCTCTCAAAATTACCCGGCTTGTTTCTAAATATAACTTTTATGGTGATACCGGAAAATCAAAGAGCTGAAGTTTATTATGTTGCAAGATTCATCAGAATATGTAAACAAATAAATGAAATATGCCCCAAAAACACCGATTTTCGGCCAAGTTTATCTCCCAAACCAGTATATATAATATAACAAGGGATACAACTCAAAATTGTTCACTTCATGAAAAAGTAGATAGAACGCAGTATACAACATTTTTTTTTTCTTTTGATTGTTGGACACTGATGAAAGAATCGATAATTAAAAAAAATGACTCACTTTGTTACATGGACAAGATATTATTAAAAATACCCTTTCAAGTTTCATTTTTACACACGTTCGTAAAATTTGTTTGTAAAATTACACTTGTAAAACGACATCTAATGCAAACGTATGTTCATTTAAGAAAGTTTAATCATGTAATCGGTTAAATATCAATCATCCACCACCATCAATGATGCAATCATTAACTTCTGGTACAAATTATTGTAACAATTTTTGTTTGTTTTGATAATTTCTATCCTCGGCTTCCATTTTGATGTTGCCCGTATGTTTCATGCGTAATTCCAACTTCTGTTAGTGACTGTCAATTTTATTGGTTAATGAATAATAATAAACCAGATAATAACGGCGTATAGCCGCGACGAATTGCGTTTTTTTCATCAGCCAATGAAAATACGCGAAACTTAAACACACCTGCAAAATGGACGACAACTTGACAGCCAATGTAAATATTGAAATGTTAGCTATTTCCTACAATGTTACAGGTTTTAATGATGTGTTTGTAGTAGAACTTGGGTTATGACTCGTTCATATATGTACTTCTACAATAACTTTGATGGAATAGAGGATATTTTATACAGTTTACACATGTGAATGCATTTTACGAACCCGTGCTGGTAGTGCGAGGTCACGACTTGTATCCCTTGTATATATTATATATATATAGAGAGATTTAATAAAATAATGACAGATTTCCCTGTGGATAAAACTAGAGTCACCGTAGCAGTGCTCAACCAGTTTTTCACAAAATCACATAAAAACTCTTTCAGAAAGGAAACTTATTTTTGTAACATTGCTGGCCCTTTCAAACTCACAATAAGCTAAAGCTTTTTAATTTATTATTACACAGATCAGGATACAATTTACCAAGGAGTTGTATATAGGGTATAAAACCACTATATTAGTGCTCGACCAGGTGGTTTTATCTCTTTCAGAACTTTTATTTTATAAAAACAGATATGACTTTTTATGTTCAACAATTTTATTTAAAAAATAATTTGAAAACTTATTGTTTAAGTGTCTATAGATGTAAAGATGCAAGCAAATATGATATGAAGGAAATGCTATACATTGACAAATAAAGTGTTTATAAGAGTTTTGGAATTTACATATACTGGGGTGTTTGAGACGACTTATTTTCATAAATTTTTTTTAACTAAAATCACTCTGCAAACATAGTTTAGTGTGATAATTGGTGTAATATACAAATGGTCTACGCTTTTAGTGGTGTGTTCCCGATTTGTTTCCGTACAGCTGCCATATTTGTTTACAAGTTCATAGCCCCAGTCTTTTATGGAAGGCAGGGTTTTGATGAATTTTGGTTACCTTTCTTATGGAAATCAATTGGAATAATAAGAGTAAAGGCAGTTTAACAAAGTATTGTCCTAAATTATCATTATTTCAGTGTTTTAAATAGTTTTTACTGCTACTTTTATCATAGAAATGTATTTTTGTACTGTTTAATATTGTCTGCAAAATGGCCAGTCTTCTACCAAACTTGGAGTACTTGTACATGGTGTAGAGGTTACAGGTCAGGTACAAATAACACACACAAACTCCTAGGGTTTTTCTGCTTTAATGCATAAATCGTACACAAATAGAAGTATTGGTAGAGCATTGGGCTGGTCGAGCACAGGTACTGTGACTCTATATATAATCTGTTGATAAGCCAAGGATGGACAAATATAAATCTTATTATGAACGTAAACTACTTAATAGTTTCCAACAGGTGCAAAATTCAGCACTTGGCCACCATATTGTCAAAATATTTGACCACGTGATTACGAGGTTGACCTTGCTTCCAATTTTTGGATATGAAATTAAGTGCTACCTATGGCGCGGAAAGCTCTTATGAATTATGATTTTAGCATAACATGTTTAGTGTACATGTAAACCAGATCTTTCTTACAGGTATTTTGTACCGTAAACAAAACAAATAAATTGGTGGTGTTCAACCTATCATCGGAGTGCTCGGATATTCCGTGAATCTCCGAACGTAAAGGGGGACCACTGCGCATGCGTTGTCGTTTGGAAAATCCCATCCGCCATTTTTGTTAATCTCTAATCACAGTTGTTGTTTAAACATTATTTTTTTATGTGCTAATTTATCAAAAAGGATATGTTAAAGTAACTTTTTATATTTATTTTGTACTACTGGCATGCGAGCAGTTCCCGTACAGAAGCAGTACCCGTATTTTTCATTTGAACGCTTGATTTTCACATGCATTCTTCAAAAATTCATTTCAAATCAAGCAGATACATAAACGAGACAAAATCTTAGTGTCAGTTCGGCAGTACGTATAAAAAGTCTCATTTTAAATCACTTTCACCTGTGCGTTGTCAAAATGTGACCTTGTTTTATCTGGGGGATTCCGTCCTTGCGCGCATGCGCAAACATACTTACACGTGAGGCATGTTAAAGGGTTTTCCACTAATACCACCTGTTTACAGATAAGAAGGCAATGTGATGAAAACTTGTTTAATTATCAGAATTTTGACCAATATTACTATATAAAATAATGTTATGGCTTTGATGCGTAAAATATCATGCATACAAGCATGCAATCGCATGTGAATGCGTTGGGGGTAACGGTACCGGGTAATAGATACACGCGTTTAGTCTACTTTCTATTTCCTGAATTACATCTATTTATCTCTTAGAAAATGGTCTGTTCAACAATTATAAATGAAAAATAGGTCCAATGTAATAAAATTGTATAATTATAATGGGTTAAATTCTATGTACGAGAACTACTTCTCTTCATACAAAATAATGGATAATTTCGGTACCCCATATGAGGCCTCATAACTAAGTGTTATTCTATGTTTAGAACATGATGGAATTTCCATGATTTGTGTGACGAGCCGAATATTGATGTGTAACATTCAAATTTTGGTGAGTGAGCGTAATAAAAAATAATGTTTAAGTAACTACGATTTTTGTACGGGAACTGCTCGCATGCCAGTATAGTTCTTATCAATGAAATGCATGTTTATTTTCTGATTTTCCACATTATTCTTTCACTGGAAGTGTTATTCAGCATGCGTCTGCTAGCAATAGTCTAAATTATGTAGACGCTCATTAAAAGCTCTCTGAAATCTATATTTAGCTCAAAAGGATTTCAAAATGGCGGCGCCCAGTTAACACAGCTCAGTAGGTATAGGATATATATTTTTTTGAAATTTTCATTTACTTTTAATTTGATTTCATTTGAATTGATACGCCCCGCAAGGACTTTCCGAGTATAAATTACTTTTTTCAAGATATCAATATCCACATTAAACCGGTGAAAGTCGATCAACGGCCGATGTGCATGTGGATGAGAACTGATAATGAATGTGGATTTCTCATCAGTACACACAACATAAGTTAATAACTTGATTATTGACAAACAATCACAACTTTGCCGGGATCGAAAAAATCATTCAGAGCGACTTGTTTGTATGTATGTTAGCCTGGTATCATCAAAAGCGAAAGGGAAAGTAGATTACATATCTATACTGCAAGATAGAGGAAATTTGTTAATTTGTATTTGATTATAAGATGCACTACCCCCTCTGGGTTTGAAATTTTAGTCTCAAAATGTGTCTTATAAGCAGAAATGGACAGAACATGTATGTTGATGTAACATTTTGGAAAAGTTAGTATCTTAAATTATCTTGTTAAATTCTTTTTTCTTGCATTTTCAGTGATTTTCTCATCCTGCCAGGCTTTATTGACTTTTCAGCAGATGAGGTGGTGAGTATTTTATATTAATTATAAAGGACTTCTTTTTGTGTTGTTGTAGATTTTGTGTTAGACTTAAATTATCTTTAAAAGAGTGTGTTTCATTGTTGTTATAAATATTAAAACTGTATCTGAAAAGTCCTAATTTTCTGTAATTATGCCACTGCAGCATCCGCGATGCGGTGGCATATAGCGATTCACCTGTGCGTGTGTGTGTGTTTGTGTGTTATATAGATTATAAAGTGAACTTAAAATATCTTCTTGTGAAAAACCACTTGTCCAATTTCAACCAAACTTGGCAGGATTGATCCTTAGGTAAAGAGGTTCCGAAGTTGTTCAAAGAAGTTCATTCCATGCAGAAATCTGGTTGCCATGGCAACCAAAAGGAATTATAAGGATCAATTTTAAAAATCTTCTTGTAAAGACCCAGAAGGCCTAGAGCATAGATATTTTGCATAAGGCATTGTCTGGTAGACCTCTACCAAGATTGTTCAAACTATAGCCCTGGGGTCAAAATTGCCCCCCCCCCCCCCCTGGGGTCATTGATTTTCACAATGTACATATAGTAAAAACTTAAAATACCTTCTTGTCTGAAGGTACAAGGCTAAGAGCTTTGATATTTGGTATATGATATCATCTTTAGGTACTCTACCCAAGTTGTTCAAATTTTGCCTCTAGTGTCAAAATTAGTCCCGCCCTGAGGGTTCATAGGTTTTCCTTTTATGTATATAGTTAAAACTTTAAAAAATCATCTTCTCTAAATTGACAAAAGCTAGAGGTAAGATATTTTGCATGAAACATTGAGTAGTGACCCTCTACCAAGATTGTTCAAATTATAGCCCTAGGGTCAAAATTGGTCCTGACCACGGGGTCATTGATTTTCACTATGTACATATAGTAAAAAATTAGAAAATCTTCTTGTCTAAAGGTACAAGGCTTAGAGCTTTGATATTTGGTGTATGATATCATCTATAGGTACTCTACCAAATTTGTTCAAATTTTAACTCTAGTGTCTAAATTGGCCCTGCCCCAGAGGCGATACTTTTCCTTATATGTTTAAAGTAAAAACTTGAAAAATCTTCTCCTATGAATTGACAAAGGCTAGAGGTTAGATATTTGGTATGAGACTTTGCGTAGTGAACCTCTACCAAGATTGTTCAAATTATAGCCTGGGGGTCAAAATTGGCCTCGGCCCGGGGGTCATTGATTTTCACTATGTACATACAGTTAAAGATTAAAAACTCTTCTTGTCTGAAGGTACAAGGCTTAAAGGTTTGATGTTTGCTATATGATATCATCTATAGGTCCTCTACCAAAGTTGTTCAAATTTTGCCCTTGGTGTTAAATTGGCCCTGCCCCGGGGGGGTGGGGGGCATTGATTTTCGTTATTTACACATAGTAAAAACAGAAACTAAAACAACTAAATAAGAGAAAGTTACAGCTTAGATATTTTGCATGAACGTTGTTTGGTGGACCTGTATCAAGATTGTTTGAATTAAACACTTTGGTCAAAATATTGCCTTGCCTAAGGGGACAGTGACCTACCTTCTTGTCATTTGATGTACAGCCATGAAATTTTGACCATGTGCACAGTTTAGTTGTATAATTGAACTTTGATATCAGGTGACCTAGATTTTGATGATGTGACCTACTTTCTTGTCCTTTGATGTACAGCTGTGAAATTTGAATCATGTGCACAGATTAAGATGTAAAGTGAACTTTGATATCAGCTGACCTAGATTTTATGTTGTCCTTGGTTTAAACATATTTATTTAAGCTCGATTGCGAAACAAGTTCTTGCAACTTATATTAATCACTTTTGAGTCGGCTTTCTGGAACCAACCAGTACTGGTGTCATATGGAGAAACATGGTCGTGACCCGAGTAGGGCTCGAACCCATGATCTCTGGGTTAAGAGGCAGACACCTTAACCACTAGGCCACCGCTCCCCTTGTGTTGTTCTTTGATGTAGTCATGAAATTTAGGCTGTGTAAAATATGACCTTCACCACCAAATTCACTAGACTCAAGTGCATTGATATATTCCTACTCTGATCTTTAATTGGATTAACAATAGATTTAATCACTAATCTGATAATAAGAATTAGATAGGTCAGGGATCTATGCATTATGACAATCTTCAATCGTATAGAAACAAAAAAATCTGTTCCTACACTACTATTTAGTGTTGTATTAATGCGGTGGCATAGCATTTTTCTCAAATGCAATCTTGTTAGAGCTTCTTTTCAATCTGTAATAAAGGTCTCAGATGAAGCTTATAATAAACAATATTGATTTAGTTTTTCCACTAAAAGTGAAATTGCTACACAATTTCACCTTCAAAAGGGATCTGCTATCATTCTGCCAAAGCTTGTATAAAGTCTCTACCTTTTTATGCCACCACAGCATCTGCGATGCAGTGGCATAGCGATTCACCTGTGTGTATGTGTGTGTGTTTGTGTGTTATATAGATTATATAGTGAACTTAAAAAATCTTCTTATGAAAAACCACCAGTCCAATTTCAACCAAACTTGGCAGTATTGATCCTTGGGTGAAGGGCTTCCAAAGTTGTTCAAAGAATTTCATTCCATGCAGAAATCTGGTTGCCATGGCAACCAAAAGGTATTATAAGAATAAATTTAAAAAATCTTCTTGTAAAGACCCAAAAGGCCTAGAGCTTAGATATTTTGCATAAGGCATTGTCTGGTAGACCTCTACCAAGATTGTTCAAATAATATCCCTGGGGTCAAAATTGGCCCCGCCCCGGAGGTCATTGATTTTCAGTATATGTACATATAGTAAAAACTTAAAATATATGCTAATGTGGCTATTTTCTTTTGTGTGGCTAAAAAGAACAATAGAGAGAACAATAGAGTAGCCACATAATTACTGTCCTGTGAGAACGTCCGTCCTTCCGTCCATCCGTCCGTCCGAATTTCGTTTCCGGAGTAGTTCTCTACAACTACTGGCTGGAATTCAACGAAACTTTATGGGAATCATCAATATCAAGAGGAGATGCGCATATCGTCGGCTTGTTCCGGTCAGACACTTGAACTCAGAGTTATGGCCCTTGATTAGTTATGCAGTATGCATTTTGAGTAAAAATTGTTTCCGCGCTACTTCTCTGCAACTACTGGCTGGAATTCAACGAAACTTTATGGGAATTGTCAATATCAAGAGGAGATGCGCATATCGTCAGTTTGTTCCGTTCAGACCCTTTAACTCAGAGTTATGGCCCTTGATTAGTTATGTAGTATGCATATAGAGTAAAAATCGTTTCCGCACTACTTCTCTGCAACTACTGGCTGGAATTCAACGAAACTTTATGGGAACCTTCAATATCAAGAGGAGATGCGCATATCGTCGGCTTGTTCCGGTTAGACACTTTAACTCAGAGTTATGGCCCTTGATTAGTTATGCAGTATCCATATAGAAAAATATTTGTTTCCTCGCTCACTTCTCTGCTACTACTGGCTGGAATTCAATGAAACTTTATGGGATACTAAGAGAAGATGTGCATATAGTCGCCTTGTTCCAGTCAGATACTTATAACTCAGATTTATGGCCCTTGATTAGTTATGTAGTATGCATACATCTCATTGGCATATCCAGATTTTACTATTTAACACAAAGTTATGGCTCTGTTATTGCCCTGAATATTTATCAAGTTCAAAGAATATTACTGTTTATGCCATGATTAATATATAAATAAAGCCTTATGTCTTCAGTTGTTGTGTTAATAATAACCAGTACTCGGCGGGGGATATAAATTCAACAAATTTGCTTGTTCAAATTATAGCCCTGGGGTCAAAATTGGCCCCGCCCCAGGGGTCATTGATTTTCACTATATGTACATATAGTAAAAACTTAAAATACCTTCTTGTAAAGACCCAAAAGGCCTAGAGCTTAGATATTTTGCATAAGGCATTGTCTGGTAGACCTCTACCCAGATTGTTCAAATTATAGCCCTGGGGTCAAAATCGGCCCCGCTCCGGGGGTCATAGGTTTTTCTTATATGTATATAGTAAAAACTTATAGTAAAAACTTAAAAAAAATTTCTTCTAGCAATTGACAAATGCTGGAGGTTAGATATTTTGCATCAAATGTTGTGAAGTGAACCTCTAGCAAGATTGTTCAAATTATAGCCCTGGGGTCACAATTGCCCCGCCCGGGGGTCATTGATTTTCAATATATACATATGCTAAAAAATCTTATTGTCTGAAGGTACAAGGCTTAGAGCTTTAATATTTATAAAATGATATCATCTATAGGTACTTCACCAACTTGTTCAAATTTTGTCTCTAGTGTCAAAGTTAGCCCTGCCCCGGGGGCCATAGGTTTTCCTTATATATATAGTAAAAACTTAAAAAATCATCTTCTTTAAATTTACTAAGGCTAGAGTTAAGATATTTTGCATGAAACATTGTGTAGTGAACCTTTAGCAAGATTGTACAAATTATAGCCCTGGGGTCAAAATTGCCCCCCCCCCCCCAGGGGTCATTGATTTTCACTATGTACATATAGTAAAAAAATATAAAATCTTATTGTCTGAAGGTACATGGCTAAGAGCTTTGATATTTGGCTAGAGATTAAATATATGGCATGAGACTTTGCGAAGTGAACCTTTATCACGATTATTCAAATTATTGCCCTAGGGTCAAAATTGGTTCTGCCCGGGGGTCATTGATTTTCATTATGTACATATAGTAAAAAAATAAAAAAATATTTTTGTCTGAAGGTACAAGGCATAGAGCTGTGATGTTTGCTATATTATATAATATCATCTATGGGTCCTCTACCAAAGTTGTACAAATTTCCCCTGGTTTCAAAATTGGCCTTGCCTGGCGGCAGTGATTCTCATTACACTTCAGCCTCATTAAAACGCTCATGTTGGGGTCCAATGTCTCAACACCGCGTTCTAACGAGGCTCTCATTAGAACGCTCATTGCGAAATTACCGCATTACCCCACCCACTGCATATATATTTAACGCTGATTTTTTTACTTACTGTTCAATGAATATCGACATTATCTTTTTCTAAAACCATTCAATGATGTAAACATATATTATATTCACAAATAATACTAATTATATTTAAAAGAAAGGAAAAACTTTCGAAAGAAAATTATAAATCATGAATGTAGTGTAAAACAGGTAGCCATTACTGTAATGACGTTTTATTAACTAGGGGACACAACTAAAGCTGGACTGTAAATGACACTGTAATTTACAGTCCAGCTTTAGTTGTGTCCCCTAGTAAATCAAACGCCAATTACCACCTGTCATGGCCGCTCTATTTACAGTGCAGGATTTTAAATTGATTTTGGGCTTGTGGGTTATTTAATTTAGCGAGGTTTACATGTCAAAGATATGTGTGTGAATTTTAGTTTATTTATACTCACCACCGAATGCCAATGTAACAGTTATGATATGAATTTGAGATTTTGGAAACAATTTGATGCATGACTGATGGACAGGTAAAACACACAAAAGAGCGGATAAACGCTTACCTGGGCATGTTTTTCACACCTTTGGCGATCATAAATGTCCTAATAACAATTGTTTATTGTACTTGGCTATCAAATTGAGCAAGCGTTATAGCGCGCTATAAATCTAAGTCTACTTAAAAAAAAAAAATTTTTTTTTGTTTTTTTTTTGGGAAGTTTTTTTTTTTTTTTTTTGGGAGCCAAGGTCTATGAGCGCTCTACTGAGATTAGCGTTATAGTGAAGAGCGAGTAATCGAGGCTACAGTGTATGTACACATAGTAAAAAAGATAATAAAACAAATGTTTTCTAAATGGGAGAAAGCTTTAGCTTAGATATTGGACTTGAAATGTTGTTTGGTGGACCTGTATCAAGATTGTTTTGAATTAAACCCTTGGGTCAAAATTTTTCCTTGCCCAAGTGGACAATGACCTACTTTCTTGTCCTTTGATGTACAGCAATGAAATTTTGAACATGTGCACAGTTTTAGTTGTAAAATTGAACTTTGATATCAGGTGACCTAGATTTTGATGATGTGACCTACTTTCTTGTCCTTTGATGTACAGCTATGAAATTTGAACCATGTACACAGATTAAGATGTAAAGTGAACTTTGATATCAGCAGACCTAGATTTTGACAAAGTGTCTTACTATGTTGTCCTTTGATGTAGTCATGAAATTTAGGCTGTGTGAAATATGACCTTCACCACCAAATTCACTAGACTCAAGTGCATTGATATATTCCTACTCTGATCTTTTATTGGATTAACAATAGATTTAATCACTAATCTGATAATAAGAATTAGATATGTCAGGGATCTATGCATTATGACAATCTTCAATTGTATAGAAACAAAAAAAAAATCTGTTCCTACACTACTATTTAGTGTTGTATTAATGCGGTGGCATAGCATTTTTAGCTCGACTATTCGATAAGAATAAGTAGAGCTATTGCAGTCACCCGAGCGTCGGCGTCGGCGTCCGCGTAACCACTTATGTTAAAGTTTTTGTAATAGTTCAAATATTTTCAAAGTCCATAGACATATGGCTTTGAAACTTTGCACACTTGTTCACCATCATGACCCCAACCTGTAGACAGGAGGAGGTAACTCTATCAAGCATTTTGACAGAATTATGCCCCTTTTTCGACTTAGAATTTACGTTAAAGTTTTTGTAATAGTTCAAATATTTTCAAAGTCCATTGACATATGGCTTTGAAACTTTGCACACTTGTTCAACATCATGACCCCAACCTGTAAACAGGAGAAGGTAACTCTATCAAGCATTTTGACAGAATTATGCCCCTTTTTCGACTTAGAATTTACGTTAAAGTTTTTGTAATAGTTCAAATATTTTCAAAGTCCATTGACATATGGCTTTGAAACTTTGCACACTTGTTCACCATCATGACCCCAACCTGTGGACAGGAGGAGGTAACTCTATCAAGCATTTTGACAGAATTATGCCCCTTTTTCGACTTAGAATTTACGTTAAAGTTTTTGTAATAGTTCAAATATTTTCAAAGTCCATTGACATATGGCTTTGAAACTTTGCACACTTGTTCACCATCATGACCCCAAGCTGTAAACAGGAGGAGGTAACTCTATCAAGCATTTTTTTTACTATCAAGCACTTAGAATAGTCGAGCGTTGCTGTCCTACCGACAGCTCTTGTTCTCATATGCAATCTTGTTTCTGATAGGATCTGACATCAGCACTGACAAAGAGGATCACTTTGAGAGCACCTTTTGTATCATCACCCATGGACACAGTGACAGAATCTCAGATGGCTATTGCCATGGCTGTGAGTATCTATATGATTGATTAAGTAACACTAGATTAACAAACATGTAGGTACATATATTTGTTTAAAGGTTGACACAATGCTTCTCATTAACCAAGCATCTATGTGACTTATAATCCAACAAAAAAACAACAGAAAAAATCTTTATGATATCTTTATGTTTATTTTCTTGTTAATAAAATATGGTTTTATAATGCAGAAATGTCATTTCTTTCTGAATTGAATAAGTGCGCAGAAATAAATGAAATGTATGAATGAATACCTTGTGTACATTAACATGAGTGTCATAATTTCATTGCATATTGTATATGTTATTATACCCCCACACAACAAAGTTGTAAGGGGGTATACTGGAATCAGCTTGTCCATCCAGCCGTCGGGGGTGTCCAACTGTCCTTCGGCTTTTCCTTGGGGGCCCAATAACTTAAGATTCGTTTGACCCACAGTCTTCATATTTGGTATTGAGATTGGTCATGATTAGTAGACGACCCCTATTGATTTTCAGGTCACCAGGGCAAAGGTCAAGGGCACAGGGCCTTGACTAAAAAAAAAGCTTGTCTGCTATATAACTTAAGATTCCTTTGACCCACAGTCTTCATATTTAGCATGGAGGTTAGTCATGACTGTTAGATAACCTCTATTGATTTTGCTTGGATGTTGATCTTGAGCTCCAAATGACCACTGTTGATTCTGACAAAGTGGTGTGCAGGAGTATTCACGCCATGACAGTGGCAATGCTAGTTTATTTTGAAATTTAATTCATATTTAATTTATTATGATATGTTACAGTTATGTGGAGGAGTTGGAGTAATTCATCATAATTGTTCAGTTGATTTCCAAGTTAATGAAGTGAGAAAGGTGAAGGTAAGCAACTGTTAATGCAATCTTAAGTGAATTCCTTTAATTATTATAGGGGTTAAGTTAAAATTTGCATGCCTGTATTGATTGGTAAAATTTTATTTTTTTTTAACTTAAAAGTTACCAGGAATGAGAAAGCAAGTCTTAGTCCTTTAAATTGGATATTTACCAGACAATTTTGTTTAAGTTCTTAAGATGTCAGTAGATAAGAGTTTCACTGTGGATTTAATTGACTTTTTTGCCTATGTTTATTTTATTTCTTTCTGCTTTTTGAAAAAAATGAATATGAAATATTAACTCACTTACTGGACACAATTTGTTCTAGAATTTATTCAAAGTTTATATTGTATACCTCATAGATAATCTTGAAGGGTGTGAATACAGTCTGTATTTGTTTTATCTAGTTGCTTATGATGTTTATATTTATTTTGAACAATTCTTTCATTTTTCAGAAATACGAGCAAGGCTTTATTGTAGACCCAGTTGTGATGTCACCTTCACATACAGTTCAAAATGTGATAACTGCGAAGAAACAATATGGGTTTTCTGGTATACCAATCACAGAGAATGGACATATGGGCGAGAAACTGGTTGGTCTTGTTACACAAAGAGATATAGACTTCCTGTCATCAGAAGATTATAAAACACCAGTTTCTGAAGTAAGTCTAGATAGTTGATGTTGATAAATACGTAAATTTTATATTTATACCCCCAAAAACGAAGTTTGGGGGGGTATATAGGAGTCACCCGGTGGTCGGTCGGTCGGTCGGTCGGTCGGTCCAGACGTCCGTTGCATTTTCCTTGTCCGGAGCATAACTTGAAAACTAATGGTTGGAATTCAATATAACTACATACAATGGTCAAGCACATTGAGAGGAAGTGCAGTGCACAAGAACCATAACTCTATCTTGACTAATTACAGAGTTATTGCCCTTTGTTACTTTTCCTTGTCCGGGGCATAACTTGAAAACTACTGGTTGGAATTCAAAACAACTTCATACAATTGTCAAAACACAATAAGGGGAAGTGCAGTGCACAAGAACCATAACTCTATCTAAAGTAATTACAGAGTTATTGCCCTTTGTTGCTTTTCCATTGCTTTTTTTTTGTCCGTTGCATTTTCCTTGTCCGGAGCATAACTTGAAGACTAATGGTTGGAATTCAATATAACTACATACAATGGTCAAGCACATTGAGAGGAAGTGCAGTGCGTAAGAAACATAACTCTATCTTGACTAATTACAGAGTTATTGCCCTTTGTTACTTTTCCTTGTCCGTGGCATAACTTGAAAACTACTGGTTGGAATTCAAAACAACTTCATACAATTGTCAAACACAATAAGGGGAAGTGCAGTGCACAAGAACCATAACTCTGTCTAAAGTAATTACAGAGTTATTGCCCTTTGTTGCTTTTCCATTGCCTTCTTTTTTTGTCCGGAGCATAACTTGAAGACTAATGGTTGGAATTCAATATAACTACATACAATGGTCAAGCACATTGAGAGGAAGTGCAGTGCATAAGAACCATAACTCTATCTAAAGTAATTACAGAGTTATTGCCCTTTATTACTTTTCCATTGCTTTCTTTTGTCCGGACCACAACTTGAAGACTAATTGTTGCAATTCATTATAACTTCATACAATGGTCCAGCACATTGAGAGGAAGTGCAGTGCACAAGAACCATAACTCCATTTTGACTTATTACAGAGTTACTGCCCTTTGTTTCTTTTCCTTGTCCAGAGCATGACTTTAAAACTACTGGTCGGAATTCAAAACAACTTCATACAATGGCCAAGCACAATAAGGGGAAGTGCAGTGCACAAGAACCATAACTCTATCTTGACTAATTACAGAGTAATTGCCCTTTGTTACTTTTCCATTGCTTTCTTTTGTCCGGACCATAACTTGAAGACTTATTGTTGGAATTCATTATACCTTTATACAATGGTCCAGCACATTGAGAGGAAGTGCAGTGCATAAGAACCATAACTCCATCTTGACTAATTACAGAGTTACTGCCCTTTGTTACTTTTCCTTGTCCAGAGCATGACTTGAAAACTACTGGTTGGAATTCAAAACAACTTCATACAATGGTCAAGCACAAGAAGGGGAAGTGCAGTGCACAAGAACCATAACTCCATCTTGACTAATTACAGAGTTATTGCCCTTTGTTACTTTTCCTTGTCCAGAGCATAACTTGAAAATTACTGTTTGGAATTCAGTACAACTTCATACAGTTGTCAAGGACATTAAAAGGAAGTGCAGTGCACAAGAGCCATAACTCCATTTTGACAAAATACAGAGTTACTGCCCTTTGATACTTTTCCTTGTCCGGAGCATAACTTAAAACGTACTGGTTGGAATTCAAAACAACTTCATACAATAGTCAAGCACAATAAGAGGAAGTGCAGTGCACAAGAACTATAACTCTATCGTCAGTATTTATAGAGTTATTGCCCTTTGTTCCTTTTCTTTGTCTTTCTGGACTTATTACAGAGTAATTCAATTAAACTTCATCAATGGCCAACCACATTGAAAGGAAATGCAACATACATGAACCACAATTATCTTTAATTGCCCACAACCATAACTCTATGTTTCAATTCTTTTACAAGGTATTCTGTTACTAGTAACATCCTCATTTCCTAAGCAGACTTGTGGGGGTATTAATCACATTTAGTGATAGTTCTAGTTAATGGGTAGATTTTGGGTAAAAATGGAATTGTATTTCAAGAGGAATTGGTCAATTAACCTTTTCCCTTATATAAGTGTGTTTCAAACTGCTTTTTGCGCGCGCCCCCCCCCCCCCCCCCCCCCCCCCCCCCCCCCCCCCCCCCCCCCCCCCCCCCCCCCCCTCTGAGGCCTCAAACAGTGAAAAAATGCCCTATTTAGGCCCCAAACACTTTTTTTCGTTTCAGAAATGTTAAAAAAACGTGGCCACTTTTTGCGGCGCCGTCCCCCATTCAAATGTTACATCAGGGGGTTGCCAAAAGGGGGATGTGCCCCCTCCTTTTCGGGGGGGGGGGGGGGTTGAAGGGGGTCTTACCCCTCTAGCCTAGGCAGTTTCTACAACCTAAAAAAAAATTGGCGATACCCCTCCCTAGCCTAGGCAGTTTTTATTGCACCCCCCACCCACTCCCAAGACCATATAAAAGATTGGACATTACAAGACAAACAGAATGGACAGAAAGGGGCAAGACCATATTTTTAACTACATATGATCTTTCCATAGACAGAAAATGTAATTAAATATAAATACTAGGGATGTCATTTGGAGTCCGGATATCCGAACGTTCGGATCACGATTTGGTGTCCGGAGCCGATTTTCGGATCCGGATGTTCGTATAAAATATTTCAGAATATTGAGAAAATGTGAAAAATACATGAACATGCGTTGAGATAATCGACGTAGACATGGTGTTGACACCATATTGCATATTATACCTTAATTTGACAATACACATCATAATCTCTGCAGACCACAAAAAAAATCAATAATTACTATAATAATTACGAGTCGTGTATGACACATGTTGTTAACCTTTTCCCTTATATAAGCGTGTTTCGACGACTTTTTGCCCCCCCCCCCCTTTTTTGAGGGATCAAACAGTGAAAAAATGTCCTATTTAGGCCCCAAACATTGTCTTTCGTTTGAGAAATGTTGTTAAAAAAGTGACCATTTTTTCGGCGCCGTCCCCCATCCAAATATTACATCAGGGGGTTGCCAGAAGGGGAATGTGCCCCCTTCTGTTTGGGGGGGTTTGAAGGGGGGCGGAGTCCCCCTCATCGCCAAGAAAATTTGGACTTGAAGTGATTTTTGGCAATTTTGAGATGTCCCCTCGTTGCCATGGTAACAGGAAATTTAAGACTGAGCATGTCGTTACAAAGGCAATGGTCCAGTCAACATTTGTGCCAAGTTTGATTAGTATTGAAGCATTTTTCATAGTTTCATAGCAGTTTGAACTTGTAACAGGAGGCTTTTCAGTGAAAATGGCCATTTTTCACAATATGCTCATGGGGGAAAGGGTTAATCTACATGTATGTTAAACACCAAACAAATTTAAGTTTTGTAGGATTCAAGATGAATATTCTAAGTCCCGTGCGATTGTCATCGGCAACGATTTTACATTTTTTATGTCCAAATTTAAATACTTTATTAGGCAATTTTTTTACATATATTTCGGCTTACTTCGTTGACTCCCTATTTTGAGAAAATGAAAAATCTGCAGAAAAAAAAATAGCAAATAAAGAAATGCACTTACGAATAGTAATATGTTAATTATCACAGCTTTTATTATCCCCCGCCGAAAAATTTCGGCGGAGGATATAGAAATAGTCTCCGTCCGTCCGACCTTCCGTCCGTCCGTCCGTCCGACATTTTTGTCCGGAGCATATCTCTAAAAGTATTTGAGGTATCAACTTGAAACTTCATAGGTGGATAGACCTCATTGAGGAGGAGTGCAGTGCACAAGAATGATAACTCTACCTTGCATGATTTTTGAGTTATTGCCCTTTGTTATTTTTCAAAATTGATTTTTGTCCAGAGCATAACTCCAAAAGCTTATGAGATATTAACATGAAACTTCATAGGTGCATAGATCTCACTCAGGAGGTGTGCAGTGCACAAGAATGATAACTCTACCTTTCATAATTTTTGAGTTATTGCCCTTTGTTATTTTTCATACCTAATTTTTCACCTGAGTGGAGCATAACTCGAAAAGTGTTTGAGATATCAACATGAAATGTCATAGGTGGATAGATCTTATTGAGGAGGAGTGTTGTGTACAAGAATGATAACTCTTCCCTATACAATTTTTGAGTTATTGCCCTTTGTTTTTTTTTATGTTATTTTGTCCAGAGCTTATCTCAAAAAGTATTTGAGGTATCAACTTGAAACTTCAAAGGTGGATGGATATCATTGAGGAGAAGTGCAGTGCTTAAGAATGATAACTCTACCCTGCATTATTTTTGAGTTATTGCCCTTTGTTATTTTTCAAAATTAATTTTTGTCCAGAGCATAACTCAAAAAGCCTTTGAGATATCAAAATGAAACTTCATAGGTGCATAGATCTCACTCAGGAGGTGTGCACTGCACAAGAATGATAACTCTACCTTTTATAATTTTTAGCTCACCTGAGCACGAAGTGCTCAAAGGTGAGCTTTTGTCATCACTCTGCGTGCGTCGTGCGTCGTGCGTCCTTCAAAAAATGGCGTCAAACTTTTCAAACAACATCTCCTCCTAAACTACATGGCCAATTGCAACCAAACTTTACAGAAATGATCCTTAGGTGGACCCCTTTCAAAGTTGTTCAAAAATTTAAATTCCATTAAAAACTCTGGTTGCCATGGCAACCAATAAGAAAAACTTAAAAAATCTTCTTCTAAAAAACCGTAAGAGCTAGAGCTTAGATATTTGGCATGAAACATCTTCTAATGAGTGCCTACCAAGTTTGTTCAAATCAAAGCCCTAGGGTCAAAATTGGCCCCGCCCCAGGGGGTCATTGATTTTCCCTATATGCATATAGTAAAAACTTAAAAAATCTTCTTTTAAAGAACTCAAAGAGCTAGAGCTAAGATATTTAGCATGAAACATGTTCTAATGGGTGTCTACCAAGTTTGTTCAAATAAAAGCCCTGGGGTCAAAATTGGCTCCGCCCCGGGGGTCATTAATTTTCCTTATATGTGTATAGCAAAAACTT